CTCACCTCAGCCTCCCAAAGGCGTGGGATTACAGGCTGAGCCACCGAGCCCGGCTCCAACCTCTTTTTTTAAAATTAAATGCTACTTTGATATTAAACCATCTGGTAGAGCCATCTGTCTTTTTCATCCCAAAAGGAAGAGATAAATAATGAAAACAATGACCTATAACATGAATTTTCTAGTTGTATGAATTCTGGATAAGCAGGAACACACTGTGGGACACAGGGTCAAGCACACAGAGTGAGTATCAGCCTTGGCCTTCAGAGCAATCCATCTGCCTAAAAAAGTCATATAATTATCACAGCTAGAAGAAACCTAGAACACTTGGTGGGGTGTGAGGCTTACGTAGACTTATAATGGGTGGTGCAGTGGGGTGAGGAGCCCAGTTTCTTGCTCCCCAGGGTTCTTTCCCTAACACCATCTAGGTGGAGTGAGAGTCGATACCTGTTCAGGGCAGAGATTACCACTGCTTGGCCCAGATGCCCCTTGGGACCACAGCCAACCACAATGGACAAAGAACAATCTTCTGAGGCTGACTGGGTACTTCTGAGGTAGCAGAGGACACTCAAAGACACACTGGACTCCTGATGCTAACAAAGGATGCCACATGACTGCCCATCAAGACCCAAAATGCTCGAGTCATGCTGCTACCCGAGGCTGCTGGGCTCTCTGATGACCATCCAGGGGAACCCTAAGGAGCAGTGAACTGCCTGAAATGGGGCTGCATGTCTGGAAATTCCCTCGTTGAGAAACATCCTGAGAGAGGGAGGCTGGCCCTTGTTCACACAAAGTCACACTCACTGGCCCAACTTGTTAGCTCCCAGGGCACTCCTGAGTGAGGGAGCTTCTTCTCTGGACACCCAGGGAAACAGTGTATACAGTGGACAGAGCACCAGATTCAAAGTCAGGAAACCTGGAAGAAGCAAGCTGGGTGACCTCAGGAAGATCATCCTGTCCACGGGACCAGAGGGCACCTGGGGACCCTTCTGGCCTCGACACTGCCCATTTTCTGCATCATCTGGTTGCCTCTGCTAGGGGCCTGGAGGGCACACCATCCGCTCACTAGCAAGCACGCTGGACATAGGGGTTCAAATGCTATGCCTGGCACATTGTAGGCACTTTAAAAATGTTTGAGAAATACATGCATGCTGAAAATGGCAATAAACACCCACTAGGCTGCAATTCCAGGAAAGGAAGCCAGTCCCTGGGCTGGCATTAAACTGGGTCTTCCAGAGGTGACAAGGATAGGCTCAAGAAGCACGAACTTGTCTGTGGCAGCAGCAGTGGGCCAGGGAAGCCCAGCCACCACTCGGTTGGTGGACCAGTCAGCAGCGCAGAGAGCAGCAGCCCTGCACGCCTCATTCTGTTACCTTCTGCTCCAGAGTTCTTTCCAAAGCATCCACACGCAGCTGTTCCTTCCGCAGGCTGGCCTGGTGGGCAGCCTGCTCCTGCTGGGCCTTGCCTCGAACCTGGGCGATCTCAGCATTGGCCCTGCAGAAACAAGAGAGCTCAGAAATCACCACCCTTCCCTGAAGATTGCTGGAGATGCCAACCCCTCCT